CAGGGAATGTCTAGACAATGCTATAACACTCCCTATAGTTTGTTTATGGGGGGTGGCTGCGCACTCCCCAAACAATCTCTCCCCCTCTCAAAGCATTCCGCATAATAATGTTAGTTGTATGTTGACACGAGGTACTTCAGACAGTCTACGAACAATGTATAAACATTGTTTCCCGCGTGATTTCTTTGTGACGTAGGAACGAAGAGGAGGAGCTGGAGAAGGAGCGCGAGAAGGAGCGGCGGAGGCAGCAGGTGCTGTGGCCGGCGGCGAGATGAGCAGGGACGCCACCAAGCAGCGCAAACAGCGGCGTTGGCGGCGCCAGAGGTGGTGGCGGGGAGAGCGGGAAGGAGGGCGAGAAGTTGGTGAAGGGGGGGCAGCTGACGGGCCTGGGTATTACAGGGCGAAGGCGAACTCGCCACAGGAAAGTTCGCTCACTAGCGAACTTGTAACCTTTGGCAAAAACTCCAACCTGAAATGTCAAATTCGAGGTTGGAAATCCCAACCTGAAATGTGCGCTTCGGGATTTTCCAAAGCACACGTGAATTCCCAACCAGCAAAGCAGCAGAGAAGAGAGAAGAGAGCATCTTCACGACAGCAAGGCAACAAGTCGCGCTATGCAACTACAACTACGTTCCAGCGTCACAAGACTCAGGTGCAATCATCATGAAGACGAAGAATGAGTCAGCAAGTATTATTCTCGAACTATATCATGATTGTACTTTGCATTTCTCCACATGAACAGCTAGGATCCAGCATAGAGATGTGATCATTGCTTGTACATATTCTGTTCCTAGCTGGTGACAGCAGAGATAGGTAATATGGCGGCCTGAACGAGCTTCTCAAGGTGCCATAGTCATAGAAGTGTGTATAAGAGTAGTCGTTCATCCCTTGTATGCCATTCTTGCTTTCAGAAATTTACATAATTCATGCTACCAATCTACCTTGCTGATCTAGACTCTCTAAGCTTAGCATTCAGAACTACTAGCAGCCTTAGAGCTGTTCCACTGGGGGGTTTTGAGGCACCTCAGAAGGCGGCTTTTGAGGCGCCTCAGAAGGGGGGGCAGCTGACGGGCCTGGGGGGCAATTTGACAAGCCCGAACTCGCCCAGATGAGCCGCCGTGGGAGGTGGGGATGCGTGTGAAGTACACTCAGAAGACTGGTGTAGGTAGGGGGGATGAAGGTTGAAGGAAGGGGGGATGAAGGGGGGACGAAGGAAGGGGGTTTGAAGGAAGGGGGAATGGAGGAAGGGGGATGAAGGAAGGGGGGATGAAGGAAGGGGGATGAATGAAGGGGGGGTGGATGAAGGGGGGATGGATGAAGGGGGAATGCAGGAAGGGGGAATGAAGGAAGTTGTGATGAAGGAAGGGGGATGAAGGAAGGGGGATGAAGGAAAGTGGGGTGGATGAAGGGGGGTGAAGTGAAGTTGTTGAGTACGAGAGGCTGTGGGTGAGAGGTGACGAACGAGTCTAAGAATCGTTGTCTTTCAAGATGACCGATTGTTCTGGGGCGCCATTGTGTGACGTTCATCATGTGTGAGAGACACTAGAAGGACAATGAGGGGCAGCTGAAGAGAGAGCTGCTGATGGGGCTGGCGGAGGCTATAGAGCATGCCTTGTGTGAGAATTAGAGAATGCCTTGTGTGAGCTCTAATAGGACCCTCCAAAACACCCTGCAAGCAACTCTCCCTTCCCACCCACTCGTGCCAAAATCCTCCCTTTGTCCCTGACCCCTCCAGCTCCGCTCCGCTCCCGCTTGCTGCTCTCACATCCACTTCCACCCACTCGCACTGACACACCGCTTGCCAATGCACCAATATCAGAACCATCTCAATCCCTCCCCTTGCCCCCTCTCTTTCCCCTTGCACGCTCACCTTTCATGTACCCCCTCCCCCCTCCTTCAACCACTCCCCCTCCCCTTCACTCTGCCTTTACGCTTGCCCTCCCTCCCCTCCCCTTTCCTTTACCCCTTTCCCCTACCCCTCCCCTACCCCTCCCTATCCCTCCCCTACCCCTCCCCTACCACTCCCCTACCCCTCCCTACCCCTCCCCTACCCCTCCCCTACCCCTCCCCTACCCCTCCCTACCCCTCCCTACCCCTCCCCTACCCCTACCCTACCCTACCCCTCCCTACCCCTCCCCTACCCCTCCCCTGCACCTCCCCTACCCCTCCCCTATTCCTCCCCTACCCCTCCCCTACCCCTCCCCTACCCCTCCCCTACCCCTTCCCTACCCTCCCATACCCCTCCCCTACCCCTCCCCTACCCTCCCCTACCCCTCCCCTATCCCTCCCTTACCATGCCACACAGGGATGATGCCTCACCCTCCGCTGCACGGCCTCCGGCGGGACTGCTTCCGGGAACGTAATGATTGCCCCGCGTGATGTGCGCCTGCGTTTCCTGCACTTGTCGAACGCAACGCGTTCGTTGCGCTCTTCTCCACGACACTGTCGCCCACCTGCCTGCCTGCCTGCCTTTTGAGAATTCTCAAAAGTAATCTCAACTCTCCTGCACTTGTCGATCACAAACGCCTTTCTCTACGACAATGTCGCCCACCTGCCTGCCCACCTGCCTCGCCTCCCACTTGACCCCTGCCTGCCTGCCTCCTGCCTGTCCCCTGCCTTACAGAACCCTCATGGAATCCGAGTCATCCTTAGAATCACTTGTCGCCCGCCCGCCTGCCCACCTGCCTTCCACATACCCCCACCCTGCCTGTCTCCTGCCTGTCCCCTGCCTTACAGAACCCTCATGGATTCTGAGTCATCCTTAGAATCACGTGTCGCTCGCCGCCTGAGCCTCGTGCTGTGCTACCCTTCCCACCATGGCGCTGCTCTGTTTCCTCCTTCCCTGCTCCCTCCCTCTCCCAACTCCCTCCCTCCCACTCCCCATATTAACTCTGCACCTGTTTCTCCCAGGTGACTTTTGCCCCACTGCACTCATTCTCCACCTTTCGTACGCACTTTCTCTCGTAGCCTCTTGAGATATCACCAAAGTGATACAAGAATTGCACTGTTCCTTTCCCCTCGCTTCTCCTCCCACCCTCCCCTGCTCTCCTGCTTAGCACCTGCTTCTCCAACACCGATTTCCGCCGCACTGCACAGGCTCACGCCCCCACGGCATTGCCTCCCGTACCCCTCTCACAAACCACTGTGTTGTTCACTCTTGTTACCCCCAATTTCCCTCTCTCTTCTCCCTTTCCCCACTCCCCCAGCGCTGCACCTGCCTCTTCTACACCAACTCCCGTCCCCCGGATTCACCGACATCCGCCCCTGGATTTCCGGCCCCACTGCATGGGTCCACTGGTCATAATGGGCAACCTGGGAGCTGCTGACGTGGCGGACGTGTGCGAAAGGTGGGGGTTTGCTAGGTGCCCCGTGGCAATGCTGTCCCAAGGAGCCCCTTGACCTGCCTGTCGTTTTGAGACGTCTCAAAACCTCACTTTTATCACGTGGGGGGGTGCTGGGTGCCCCATCGCGATGCTGTCCCAAGGAGTCCCTTGTCCTGCCTGTTGTTTTCCCTGCATTCACCCAATCTCATCATTCTCGTGTGTGGCAGAGCACCTGTGGGTGAGAGAGGAGTGGGAGAGGAGTGCGAGAGGAGTGGCAGTTGGGGATATGAGAGGAGTGGGAGTTGGGGTTATGAGAGGATTGTGAATTTTGAGTGGTTGGGGGTATGAGAGAAGTGAAGAATATCGGTATGAGAGCGGTGGGAGTACAAGAGGAGTGGGGAAGGAGGTATGAGAAAATTGGGGGGTCGAAAGGAGTGGGGATATGATAGGAGAGGCAGGAATAAGCGGCTGTTGGCTGTGGTGTTGAAGTGCTGGCTGGGTAACACCTCTTTTACCGTACCTCCAATTCAATCACCTACTGCCATGCATTGTGCGCCGTGCACACGCATGGTTCCACATGCATTGTACGCCTACCGCCATGTGCCATGCTCCGTGCAGCAATCTCTGCCTCGTTCTTTTCCTCCCTTTTCTGACTTGTTAACATCCAACTGCCGAGACTTGGCATCAAAGCGAGGACTCAGCAGCAGCAGAGCTAGGGAACTATCACCCTGTTCAGCACCCTGTTCACTTCTATGTGGTGATACTTGATAGCAATGCAACCCCCTCCAAGCATGAGTGACGACAACAATGGCACCAGACACGTGTTAGGAATTTCTTTCACCCATCTGCCACCTTACTGTTCCATTCATATCATGATCCCAATCACATCGCACAACTTACCGGTACTGGTGTCGTAAACTTGTAATACAGACAAGAAACATACCATCCTAGAACTTGATGCTGCTGCTTCTGCAGCCATTGCTTCCCCTATATCAGCACCTCACAAGCATACAAATATCTCACATCTGACAGACAATCGAAACCGACACCTGAGCATGTTTTTTCCTGCTCCTGCTTCCTCCGCTTCCTTCTTTCCTGTTCCATCTTTCAATGGCGCCAGACATGAGTTAGGCGTTTCCTTCACCCAGCTGCCAACTTACTATTCCATTTATAAACCCATCACAACGCACAACTCATAATACATTATGAATAATACAGACAGGACCACTACCATCCTAGAACCTGCTGCTGCTGCTGATGCTGCTGCTTCTGCCTTTCCTCCTCTATCCAGGACCTCACAAGCATACAAAGATCTCACATCTGACAAACAAAAAGAAACTGACATCCAAGCATGTTCTTTCCTGCTCCTCCTTCCTCTCCTTCCTTCTTTCCTGTTCCATCTTCTTCTTGCAAAGTGTTTCATTCAAGGCCAGCAACCTGCTGCTCCTGCTGGTCTTGCTGCTCCATTTTCCCCGACAGCTGGTTATGATAATTTCGTGCCATCTTCTCCCATGCCGCCTTAGCCTGTGCCTCATTCGCCAGTCCCGCTTTCGCCCGTGTCGCCCTCGCATCCTCTGCCGCTTTTGCCCGTGCCGCTCTCGCCAGTGCCACCTTCTCCTGTCCAGTCTTCGCCTGCGCTGCCGTCTCCTGTGCCGCCGTCTCCTGTGCCGCCGTCTCCTATGCCACCGTCTCCTGTGCCGCCGCCTCCTGTGCCGCCGCCTCCTGTGCCGCCGCCTCCTGTGCCGCCGCCTCCTGTGCCGCCGTCTCCTGTGCAGCCGCCTCCTGTGCCGCCGCCTCCTGTGCCGCCGCCTCCTGTGCCGCCGCCTCCTGTGCCGCCGCCTCCTGTGCCGCCGCCTCCTGTGCCGCCGCCTCCTGTGCCGCCGCCTCCTGTGCCGCCGCCTCCTGTGCCGCCGCCTCCTGTGCCGCCGCCTCCTGTGCCGCCGCCTCCTGTGCCGCCGCCTCCTGTGCCGCCGCCTCCTGTGCCGCCGCCTCCTGTGCCGCCGCCTCCTGTGCCGCCGCCTCCTGTGCTGCCGCCTCCTGTGCTGCCGCCTCCTGTGCCGCCGTCTGCTGTGCCGCCGTCTTCGGTGCCGTCGTTTTCCCTGCCGGCGTCACTCCTGCCGGCGTTGCCTGTGCCGGCGTTGCCTGTGCCGGCGTTGCCTGTGCCGCCCTCTCCTGAACCGCCGTCTCCTGTGCCGCCTTCTCCTGTGCCGCCTTCTCCTGTGCCGCCTTCTCCTGTGCCGCCTTCTCCTGTGCCGCCTTCTCCTGTGCCGCCTTCTCCTGTGCCGCCTTCTCCTGTGCCGCCTTCTCCTGAGCCGCCTTCTCCTGAGCCGCCTTCGCCAGCTGCTGCTGCTTCTTGCTCTTCTTCCGCCAGCTCCGTTTATGCAAATTCCGCCGCCACTGCTTCCCCACATTCTCCTGGGGCTTCCACTCTCCAATTGCCGCCAGCATTCTCTGCTTCTCGACTTCCGCGCGTACCTGCTCAGCAGCCTGAAGCTGCTCGTCGTTTATCAACTTCTCATCCCGCTGCTCCTGCTGCTGCAGTTGTCGCTGCACTGGAGCACCATCTCGGACACGCAAGTGAGCCCACGAATCGCCAGAGTCAACGTTTCCAGCAACCGAGGGCCCGACGGAAGCTTGGACTGAGAGACCGCCTGTGAGGGGGAAGAAAGTCGGGAGAATTGTAGAGGCATGAGGGAGCGCGGACGGATTGCCAGTTTGCGAAGAAACAGCGAGAAAGGGGTGCAATCAGTCGTGAAGCGTTGGCGGGGTTGTAGAGGCATGAGTGAGCGTCGACGGATTGCCAGTTTGCGAAGAAACAGCGGGAAGAGGGAGCAGCTCGTAAGCCCTACGAAAATCAGCTCTTCGGACCACTGCCGTGGTTTCACATCAGAAAAGTAACATATTTGCAGAGATTTCGTAGCTCTGCCCTTTGCAATCCTACGTTGGGCGCGCTTCGACGAGTGTGCAAATCAAATCATCAATGACCCTTGTGAGTATTCTCGGCGTACTCCCAAAGGATGGGTCGAAGAAGGAAACGTCGAGGGTGAGCATCTTACGTCGATCGTTCTCATTGGAGGAAAGCAGCCGGCCACGAGCTCCTTCGCTGTATCGCGGCCCGCAAGTTAAGGCCAGGACGAGAAGGAATCCCAGTAGCATAATGACTGTCTCGTGACGAATTTGACTGTGAAAGGTGGTGCTGTTGAACTGTTGAGTAGGACTGTCGATTCTGTTCAGTCTGCACTGCCGGTGTGGATTTACAACACGGAAAATATAGGCACAAGGACTTAGCTGCGCTGCTGGGGGTTGTGAAGCGGATACTGACTGGTTCCAAATATGCTCGAGTCGCCACCAGTAATCTCATGCTGTGCATAAATCACACCCCATCCCATCACGAAATAATCAGGGGGCGATAATGCGAGAAATCGATAATGCAATCCTGAAATCAGAGATGGTAAGGGTCTGGTCCATTGTGTTACTCGAGGTCCGATCAACGCGGGCCGGGTTCGAGTTCAAAACTTGGTTCAATCTGTTGATCCTCGAAATTGTGAATGAGGTGTAACAGCTCGAAACTTGATACTTCACCTGACACGACGGAAGCAGGAAACTTAGTCGCTCAATCAGCACCTTTGTTACTCATTGCGATTTTCGCTCGAGTTTCTGGCTGGGGAATAGCTTGGCGAAGGTCCAATCACAGTAGCATAGTCCTTTACTGACTGTTCGATTCCGCGGTCCGGCCCCAAACCAAGTTTAGAAGAGAGGGTTACCCACTTCGAGTTCCAGCACATGACCCCACTTGGACAACATCGACCAATTCCTGAGGTGCAATAATGTGGGGATGCAATAATGCAATGAACCTCCCAGACGAAACACCGGCGACACGCGAAATTAGCGAAAAGCGCTAGGAAATAAGCATGCGATCGTTTTCATCTAAGCTACAGTTCGTTATACAAGAAACTAATCAGATGTCACGCAATAAGTATGAGCAGGCCCTACTGGTTCTGTTTTATGAGGAAAATACGGTCTGAATGCTGTTGGACTGAAATTGCCTTAGAATCCTTTAGAGTTTAGTGACAACAAGAAGTCTGTAAGTTTCTCTGCTCGTTGAATGCGAGAACAAGAATTGATAATAATGAAGAGGTACAAGAATGATTTAGTCCAGCAGAATAGAGTACATGTTCGGTAATGTACATGTTCGTGAACTGTGTTATTTATCAAATTGACTCCCAAATCGATATTTTCTTGTGTTATGCGAACAGTCACGAGAATGTTTCCGCTACTAATTGTAACCCACGCGAATCGACACATGCTACAATAACATGCATATATAATAGTACTAGACACGTGCTACAATAACATGCATATATAATAGTACTACAATACTACCGTATTCTCCCGGACATAACACCCTAGGGTATAGCTAAAAATACAGGGAAAAAATGGGGGGGGGGGGGGGTCTCCTCATAGGAAAAAAATACATAATACCCGGGTCTTTACATATGGCATATTTTAGTGTTAGTGTTTTTTTAATTAGTAAATGTGGATGTTTTGCTGGTCGTTTTAGCATCACTGCTTGAGGAGCGAATGTGAGTTTCGGCCTCGAACTTCATCGCCCCCTCTCTTGCCACTTGCAGCGGAAGATTCACCTACACGTGGCGACAGCGAAATAGTGGGAGGGGGCAAATCTCAGCAGATTGCCTTTGAATGTACCGCGAAATTTCATCGAGGGAGAAATTCACACGATATTCTTCCGTATTGCAGCTACTCGTTAACGACTATAATAATGAATCCGTAAGAAAATGGGGGTGTTATAGAAAATCAGCCAAAAAAGGGGGTATAGTAGAAACGAGGTCTATCATAACACCCACCCACCCCGCACAAGCTACCCGGGGGTGTACAATTACAGGGGGGGTGTTTTGTCCGGGAGAATACGGTACTGTAATGATCCAACTACTGTATTGCATAAGTCTTCTGCTTCATCTTCAAGTACGATCGCTGCTGTGAAAGTATTGATACCGACTCCATCTCCACCGTTCACAACTGCAGTCTCCATTGTAACTATTGTCAGATTTATATGACATAGCTACTGTAGGCTATAGTGGGGTAGCACATATGGGGTACAGTTTTCTAGGGTTCACATTTGTACCCAACTTTCCCTTAGTCATTCATTCTCGTTTCTATTATCACATGGTATCAGAGCAGGTTCCCTCGTGGGAACTGTTCCTAGGGCCCACCAATTCGACATTTTTTTTCTGCCCGGAGCGCGCTCAGTCCTAGCCCGAGTCGCGCTCCCCCCCCCCTCCCTTTTTCTCGCCCCGTCGCGCCGCCCTAGCGGCCCTGTCGCCTGCCTTGCGGCCCTCGCGCCGCCCTTCCTGGCCCCGACCCGCCGCCCGGCGGCCTCGTCGCCTACCCCGCGGCCATCGTGCCGCCCTTACCCGGCCCCGATCCGCCGCCCTGCGGCTTCGTCGCCTACCCAGCAGCCCTCGCGCCGCCCTGCGGCCCTGACGCCGCCCTTTCCGGCCCCGGCGCCTACCTGCGGCCCCGACGCCTACCTGTGCGGCCCCGGCGCCTACCTGCTGGCCCCGCCACCTACCCGCGGCCCCGCCACCTACCTGTGCGGCCCCGCCACCTACCTGCGGCCCCGCCACCTACCTGCGGCCCCGCCACCTACCAGCGGCCCCGCCACCTACCCGCGGCCCCGCCATCTACCTGTGTGGCCCCGCCACCTACCTGCGGCCCCGCCACCTACCAGCGGCCCCGCCACCTACCCGCGGCCCCGCCACCTACCTGTGCGGCCCCGCCACCTACCTGCTGGCCCCGCCACCTACCTGCTGGCCCCGCCACCTACCTTTGCGGCCCCGCCGCCTCCTCTCAGCGGCCCCGCCGCCGCCTCCCAGCGGCCCCGGACGCCGCCCTCTCAGCGGCCCCGCCGAGCCGCCCAGCAGCCGAGCCGCCCAGCAGCCGAGCCGCCCAGCCGCCGAGCCGCCCAGCAGCCGAGCCGCCCAGCAGCCGAGCCGCCCAGCAGCCGCGCCGCCGAGCCGCCCAGCAGCCGAGCCGCCGAGCCGCCCAGCAGCCGAGCCGCCGAGCCGCCAAGCAGCCGAGCCGCCGAGCCGCCCAGCAGCCGAGCCGCCGAGCCGCCCTGCAGCCGAGCCGCCCGAGCCGCCCTGTCCGGTAAGAGCAGCGCCTCTTTCACAGCACTGCCCTCACCCTACTGTTTGCGCTGCTAGTCTACTGCTGTCATGGCTACCCCTAGTGTCCTCTCTTTTGACGCTGAGGGTCGGGCCATTGACTTTGACGTCTGGATAGATGACCTGCAGCTTTTCTTACAGTGCGATAGGGCAGACGGCCTCTCCCTCTTTGACCTCACTTCCGGTGCCTCTCCTGCCCCCGCTGCTGATGCTGACGCCACTGTTCGCTCACAGTGGGCCACGCGCGATGCTGCTGCACGTCTTGCTGTGCGTCGCCACCTGCCTACCTCTGAGCGTGCGCACTTTAGCCAGTACAAGAGTGCTCACACCTTGTACGACGCTGTAGTTGCGCGCTACTCCTCCCCTGCCACTGCTGCACTGAGCCGCCTCATGCTACCGTACCTCTTCCCTGACCTTGCTGCCTTTCCCACAGTCGCTGACCTCATTACGCACCTCCGCACTAGTGACACTCGCTACCGTGCTGCGCTTCCTGCTGAGTTCTGCGCCAAGAACCCCCCCCCCATGTACATCACCCTCTACTACATAGTCACCCGTCTCCCTGACTCCCTTCGCGTAGTCAGGGACCACTTCCTCTCATTTTGCCCCACCACTCTCACCGTTGACCTCCTCGAGAAGGCCCTCCTAGCAGCAGAAAAGAGCATAGTAGCTGTAGGAGCCTCTCGTGGTGACCCTCGCACCCCCATCTTTGAGGGGTGTTCCCCCTCCCCTCTTTTGCCCTCTGTTGCCTCTGCTGCTGCGGCCGACCTCGTTGGTCTCGAGTCGGTCGGCGCTGCGTCTGCCCCGAGCGGGAGACGCCGCACCGGCAAGGGCAAGGGGGGCAAGGGTGCTGGAGGGGCTGGCGGGGGTGGCGGAGGTAGCGGTGGCGGCAGTGGAGGGGGTGGGGGTGGTGGTGGGAGTGGTGGCGGGGGTGGAGGTGTCGGTGGCGGCAGTGGAGGCGGAGGCGGCGGCGGCGGCGGTGGCGGTGGGAGCGGAGGTGGCGGAGGTGGCGGCGGTGGAGGAGGCGGCGGCGGAGGAGGTGGAGCTGGTCGGGGTGGCGCTGGGCAGAGGGTCGGCTCCGGTGGTGGTCAGCGCGAGCAGCAGCAGCAGCAGCGGCAGCAGCGCACTCGTGACATCCCCCCCCCTCAGCAGCTCCGTGAGTGGTACGCTGCACGCCAGCGGGGTGGGGGTACTGGTCCGTGCACCTACGTCCTACGCACCGGCGACCGCGCGGGTGAGCAGTGCGGGGGTGCGCACTCCACCCAGCGCTGCTTTGGCCGCCTGACGGACGCTTGGTGTCACCAGTTCCCTGAGGCCACTGAGATCCCCCGCTGGGGCGAGCTGTCTAGGGCGGGTGTAGCTGTCTTTGACCTTGACTTTGATGCTATTCTTGCTGCCATGTATGCTGTGACTATTAGTGATGAGGGTGACTGTTACCGGTGTTTTCCGCCCGACCCGGGCATTGAGACTGCTGCTCTAGGTACTGGTGAGGCTGCTGCTCTAGGTGCTAGCGAGGCTGCTGCTCTAGGTGCTCGTGCGTCTGCTCCCTCAGGTGCTGGTGAGTCTGCTCTCTCAGGTACTGCGTCGGCTTCGGCCTCCCACACCTTCACCCTTGACTCGGGGGCTTCTCGCTCCTTCTTTCGAGACCGCACCACACTCACGCCGCTTGGCCGGCCAGTTGCAGTCTCTCTGGCAGACCCCTCTGGGGGTCCTGTCCTTGCTCACTTCTCCACTGTCCTCCCGTGTCCGGCGGCCCCCTCTGGCACCCTGTCTGGTCTTTACCTCCCCTCGTTCTCTACGAACTTGGTGAGTGGTGCTGACCTACAGGATGCGGGGGTTCACCAGTTCACTCCTGCGAGTCAGCGGGTG